ACTTCCTGCAGGAGCAGCAGCAGCAGCAGCAGCAGCAGTGTGCTCACCAGCCCCAGCTCCAGCAGCTTTATCCCAGCAGGAAACGGGAGGCCCCTGCCCCCAGCTCGGGCGCTGACGTCGTGCTGGGCTTTCCCGAGGTGCTGAGAGTTTTCCGCCCTTTCCCGAGGGTTTTCCCGAGGGTTTTCCGATGCCCTGCAGGATGTGCAGCTGGGCTCTGGAGCCTTGCTGGGCTCTTGGTGCTGAGCAGCCAGCCTTGCCTTTGGAGGGGCTCAAATTCTGTCTCCCCGTGCCCCAGAGCTGTGATGTGAGTGTCAAGGTGCTGCCGGCCGGGACTGCAGGAGTGGGGAGCAGGAACCTGCCAAGATTCTCAGCTGTAATGAGCTTGTCACAGTGTGTTTTCCATAAAGGATGGACTGAACTGGGGGAGAGGTGGGAGCCAGCAGCCCTTGGCTGCAGTTTGTGCTGCTGAGTGCTTCAGGAGAGCCTGAGCTGCTCTGCTGTGCCCCAGTCCCCTCCTGGGCTGGGCTGGTCTGGGCTCACTGAGGTGTGGCTGATACATGGATGGTGAGCTGCACACACACTCCCAGCTGCAGCATTATCTCAGCTGATGGCAGGCTTGGGAATTGTAACCAGTTCTCTTAGCTTTTATTGCCCCTTCAGCAAGCTTGGCTGGGTCATGCATCTGGCAGGGACTCGTGCTGATGTGATGTGAGGTCAGAGCCATGCAGGATCTGGCCCTGGAGTCTGCACAGGTGCTGGGAGGCTGTGTTGTGATAACAGAGCATGCAGTGATAACAGTGCCTTCCTGATGTGAGAACAGCAGCCTTGCTTCCCCACTGTCCTTGCAGCAGGGAGAGGTGCTGCCATTCTCTGGTGGCCGTGTAATTGGCTGTGACACTCCTGATATCTGTGTAATCTCTGCAATCACCACAAAACAGTCGATGCTTCGTGAAGCACCATGTAATGGGATGGGACCTGGAGCATCTCTTGTGAAGAGCTGGTTTAGTTGGTGCCTGCCAGGATCCTGTGCTTCAGCCACTTTTGGTGATTCTGAAGCAGCGTGCAGCAGCCCTTGTGGTTTGTAAACCCCACTGTCCATCCTTGGATTTCATAAAACCCTGGATCAATTTGTCAGGTTTTCTGATGAAAACACTTCTCCCTGGTTTTGGCTACCTCTGACATGTGGGGTTTGGTTTTTTTTCTTTTTCAGTTGATTGGCATCATGCTGTCCTGCTGCCTGTCCCGGTACATCACCAACAACCAGTATGAGATGGTGTAGCTGGCCCCCAGTGCTCTGTGCCTGTGGCTGGGTATGTCTGTAAGCTGGGTGGGCTGCCCTGCCCCCCTGGCTGCTGCTGGTCACCCATGGGGTGGGGGGTACCACGTGTGGGGGGTTTAGGATTAGAGGGCACCTGCAAGACCCTGTCTGCTGTGTCATTTTACCCTGTGTCTAAATCCATATAACACTGTCTGCTAACACTCTGCTGTGTGCATTGCAGGGAATGGCTGGGGATGATGCCTCCACCTCCAGTTTTCCTCTGAACGCCACGTTGTGAAATCTTGCTTTGAACTGACTGATCTTCTTCTCAACTAGCTCATAGAAAGGAGTGCAGCAGCTGTCCTGGTGCACTCAGGGACTTGTCCTGACACTACTCTGTTCTGCCACGGCCTGGGATAATTGGTGTGGCAGTGGTGGCTGCAGCCAAAGCTTCCCTTCTGAGCACTGCAGCTCTTGCCCCAAGTGCCACACTGTGCTGAACTGCCTGTGCCTGGTGGCCTCCCGGGTGTCCCAGTGCTCATCTTCAGTGCCTCCACTGGGAAAGAGGTGCTTCCCCTTCCCTCTGGCAGCCTTTGGACATCCCCTCACTCTGCAGACACAGTTGTTGTCGAGGTAGGGCTGTTAAAACAGTCCTGCCTGCCTGAAGCCTTGGCTCAGCAAGGTTGTTGCCAAGCTGTCTCATCCCTCCCCTGGGTTTTATATACTTTTTTATAGTTGTACTTCTTTAAGTACAGGCTGTAGTGGTTCTTTGTAAGCTGTAGCAAGGTTTGGTGATGTAGCTCCTGGTGCCTTTACCTTGGTAGGTGTCCTTGCACCGATTCAGCTGTGACTTGATTGTCAGTATTATATGCTGCTTCAACTCATTTTATGTATTGAGTAGAATTCTTTTTGTCCTGAGACACAATAAATATTAAGATATTTTACTCTATGAAGCTTCCTTGACTTTTCTTTTCATGTCCTGGAAATTCCTCTGTTTGAAGAGCAGCAAGTCCCCCCCAGGGCTGATCTGCTCACTCTGGGCCAGGCAGGAACCTCTGCCTATTGCAGTTTGCATTCCTCCAGCGTGCACTGGTGCATTTCTGCTTGCAAATAACTTCAGTAATTGAATTTTCTTCATAACAGCAGTTGTGTAACTGTGCTGGAGCAGAGGGCCTGGAGCACCCCAGCCCAGAAGCAGGGTGGGTGAGTTCAGCCCAGTGTGAACATGTGCATCCTTGGCCTGCTGGCCACTGCTTTGGAGCAAAGGGCAGGGCAGTGCCAGGCCCCAGCTGCTCCCCAGGGCAAGAAATGTGGATTTAAGTTTTTGAATTCATTTGCTGCTGCTCATTTTTGGGCTGTTTTGTCAGCAAGCCTCTGCCTTTGTGAGCCTGGTGCTGCAGTGAAGCAGTGAAGCACCCCTCTGCCAAGCTTGGGAAATTTTGGGGTCTGAAACACTGAACTCAAATGAGCTATGTCTGGCTGGATGGTGCCTGTACTGTTCCTAGGGGGGAGGCAGGTGTAAACAGAGCAGGGGTAGCAGTGGTGGCCCTTTGTCAGTGTCACCCCTCTGGCAAAAGCTGCCTGGGTGCTGGGTGAGCTGCCCCAGCCCAACAATGACCTGGTATGGGCTAGCCTCGCTGCTGAACCTGGAGGGAAATGCCCCAAATCCCCGTGCTGCATTTATCCCAGGTGAGTAAATCAGCCTGCTGTCAGCTCCTGGCTGGCTGGAAGCCTCCTGGCTTGGGATGGCAAAGCAGAATGTGTCAGAGCCTGGGAGCCAGGCTGGAGATTGGCCAGTGGCAGTGAACGGATGGAGATAGGGCAGGGACACGTGAGAGGCAGGATTTGGATAAACCCATCGTCATCTCAAAGCCTGCACAGAGGGAAGGAGCCTGCCCTGCTCTGTGCAGATTCCTGCCTGGGGCACCAGTGGAGGCGATGCCAGCTGGATGGGGATGGTGCTGGCAGAGGGTGGCACGGGGAGCCTGGGGGTTTCCAAGCAGCTGCAGGAAAAAGCACGATGGGTTGTGCCAGTGTGGGGAACGTGGAGGCTTGTGCAGCCTTCTCAGCCCCACAGGCAGCAAAAGCACTGCAGCCATCAGAGGGTGTGGATTTACCTGGCTAAACAGCTCTTAAACAGACAACTCCCTTTAATTTGGAGACACGTTCTGGAGGTACAGGCATGTGCTGGGGGGTGCCAGGCAGACTTGGGACACCAAGGCTTTGGATGAGTCGCACTCATCAACAGAACCAACTCGAACAGGAGCAGAGCAGAAACCCTGCCACAACAAGGCATCGTTTCGCTCCGCCCGCTCCGCTCCGCCATCGCTCCGCCCCCGT